AAAATGCTTGGGCGAAGTAAAAACTTAGCTAAAATTATGCAGCATTATTCTTAAGAGATCTATGAGAAAATTTTTGCATGCAACAAATTTAATATTTTTTTTCCAGTGTTTTCTTTGATTCCTCTTTCCCTTCAGTTGGCATTTTAGGATGAATTTAAGCAGCCTTCAATGGATTTTTCAAATTTACGCATTTTAACTCATTTTTGCGTGAATTTTCCTCGATGTAGAATCCTACAACTCATCCTTTTCTTATTTGAGGTTTGGTGCCTGCCTAAGATACCCATCGACTTTACAATCACACGCAGTGCCGAAACACAACTATAAAGCATCCTATCCCCTTGAGGGTTACATCTATGAACGACCCCTAAAATAAGCCACATTTTGCAATAGGGAATTGCAATTTCAGGCTCATTTCAGAAAAAAAACATATGTGTCGTCCGTTTCTCTATGCAGTTAGGTGTTTTTGTGAATGAGCCAGAAATCGCAGTTCTTTGTTGTAAAGCAGGTTAATACAATGGTTTTTCTCATCGTAAAATTGCAAACCAACGAGTAGCAGAAAAGGCAATTATTTTGACTTTGAAGACTACTTCTGGATTATTTTCGGATTAATGTTTTCGCCGTGATTTTTTTTCTTTGAACAAGCTGACAACTTTGTTCGATAGGTCTGCACGCGAGATGAACAAACTAACGCACACATTCTCATCAATGGAGGGAGAATGCTCATTCGTGCTCAGTGATACCTCTTCAGTGGCGATTTTGCCAGTTGGCAACACTGTTTTTCCTTCATTTAAATCCATGGAAAATATCGATATTATATGAGGCAAGCTGTCTCACTATTGGGAATTGTTTCCCCCCCTCTCTCGATTAATAATTTTCCATTTATTACAATTTTCCCTTACAAAACAATACCTCAGAGTTCCTTGAGAAATGATTTTAGAATTTTTGGATGTGATAAACTTATTGTTAGATCAGTCCATCAAAATGACTTAAATTTATAACATTTTCCGTAAGCATTCAAGTTCTCCCAAAATTTCAAACTTTGTCTCACTTTAAGAGGAAGCTTCACAAACTGCTTCACATGAACATTGAACAATTTTATTTTTGATGCACGACTATAAATCAGTAATGAACAACTGATTTACGTCGGTTACCGTGCAACCAATAATTGCTTTCAAGTCAGCAGTATGAATTAGAATAAAAGACAGTATGTGAAAATGTAAGTACGTCTATGAAATTCTACACTCCTTTCGTCCATATGCCTGCAGAACTTTCATGAAAGAAGCTACCATTAATCGGCTAGCTGTCCGTGTCCTTAGCATGTATCCTTCATTTTTGCATGATGCAATTGAAGCTACGCAAACCTCATACTTGAACTGTGACGTATGCACACGCAGAATGAGTTGCAACCTCAACTGTTCAGTCTGTTCATTCAACAATCTGATAATGATTGTGCTTTTTAACTTTTGGATGACTTAAAACTTATTAGGCATAATTGATTTAAGTCAACAGTAATTCTAAGATATTTGCACTGGTGTTTTCAGTGGCACTAGCGGCGGTGGCGTATTGGACCTTACGTTCGGTTGGAAGTTGAAGCACTGCAAGACCTCGCTCGATCTTCATCAAAAGTTGTTGCAAATCACGTCGAACACGCTGAATATTTTGAAAATAAAATTGTAAGTGAAAAATTGGCCTTTATTGTCAGAGGAGCGCTACCTGCAGAAAAGAGGAGGAAAAAAGAAGAGGAAAAGATAAAGAGGAAAAAGAAAAAAAAGAGAAAAAGACGTAAGGAGAATGGAACAGGATAACACAAGAGGAAGAAGAAGATGAAGGAGAACAAAAAATAGAGGAGGAAAAAAGTAAGAGGCAGAACAAAGTGCAAGAAAAGGAAAACAAGAAGAAAAAAGAAAGAAGAGTCGAAGGAGAGAAAGGAAGATGAAAAAGTAAAGTGAAAGCAGAAAAAAGAGTCAGGGCCGGATTAAGGGGGTGGCCACATGGGCCGCGGCCGATGGCGGCAAATTTCGCACTTTTTTTAAATGTATAGGTAAAAAAATCGGATTCAGAAAAAAAAATTATCAATGAGAAAAGGGGAAAAAATCTCTCTTTCCTGAGAGTACAGTAATTTCTAATTTTGTCGTTTTTCAGCGATACAAGAGACAGCATCTTTAATTAGTCGAGTTAAGAGAGGAACTAAACACGCTATTTGGCCTCAGCGCAGAGAGGAATGATGACGAGGACTTCATGATGAAAAGGACAAGGCCTCGGCGGGGCGATCGGCATGTAATACATATTAACGCCTACAAGACTGCATGAATACTTCACTCATTGCGCCAAACACAGTGCGGTCAAGAGCGGTTGGCGTAAAACGCATAGCGCCTACAAGACTGCAGGAATACTTCACGCATTGCGCCAAGCGTAGGGCGATCAGCGCGGCGCAGCGGCGGAAGTTAATATTATTAAACCACATTTATGTTTGTTCTTTCGTGATTTTTTGGTTCATTTCATATAAATGGAGGACCTTGTCCACACAGAGATAGGTTTACGGAACTTAACTTTTGCGCAAAGTTCCGTGAAATTTTGCTAGTAGTGTTGACAAGGCTTTCGCAAAAAATGATCCAACACGAGTAGGTAAACGCGTCTTATGCACCCATCCCTCTCCGGCACGTTCACTTGATGGTTTTTATCGATGTTTCATAACTAATGAGGAGGGGGCGGAAAATACAGGCGGCCCATGGGGGGCAAGTAGGTAAAACCGGCCCTGAAAAGAGTCAAAGGAAAAGAAGGCAAAGAGGAAGAGGAAAATCAGAAAGAAGAAAAGGGGAAGAAGGAAAGGAGAAAGCAAAAAGGAGAGAAAGAAAAGGAAGAGAAAAGAAAAAGGAGGGGATAAAATAATAGAAAAAAGAAGAGAAAAATGATGATTAGAGAAAAATAATGATTAGAGAAAAAAGGTGATAATAAGGGGAAAGGAGAAGAAAAAAGAGAAGGGGGAGAAGAAAGAGAGGGAAAAGAGAAAAGAGAATTAATAAAGGAGAAGAATAATCCAAAAGAAAGAGGGAGAAAAATGGGAAAAATGACATAGAGAGTGAGGAAAAAGGAAACAAGTATAAGAAATGAGAAAGAAATGGAATATGGTATCATCGAGAAAGTGCACGCTTACTCGGAATCCAAATGAAACGTAGCTTTTTACCTAACGGGGAAAGATTACATTGATGCTTTTTTAGTTCGCCTTTGATTTCAGTTTAGGCAATACGTGCTCCTACGTGATTGAATAGTAGTATATCACCCCGAAAAGGCACGCTAACTCAGAAAAATTCAAAAAATTGTTTTTTACCTAGCAGAAGAGTTACCTCTTTTTTAACACCATACTAATTTTACCTTCAATATTCAGTGTGGGCAAGATGAGCTCCCACGTGGCGCGTGGTCAGGGGTATCATTTCGAAATAGCACGCGCAGTCGGGACGAACACAAATAAGAGCTTTTTACCAAACGCGAAAAGTTTACTCAAACGTCATTTCAGATTTCCTTCGATTTTTAGTGTAGGCAACTTAAGCTCATCCCCCTCATAATAGTCAAACTGGTCTCAGTCTGCAAATTTAGTGTGAACGCACGATAACTTTTGTTAGAATCACGTCAACTCATTCAAATTTTCAGTGGTGTGCTTTTATGTCAAATTAGGGTTGAGTTCGAAATTGGGCTCAAACGCATTTACAATTTACCAATAAACTGCCAGTATCGTAAGTGCATTCCTCAGGCTGTTTTTTACCACCATATTTTTTCCTTTCTTATTTCCTGTCTGAGAGGAAGAAAATGAAAGATACAGGAAGAGGAGAAGAAAATTAAAAGGGACGAAAGAGAAAAAAGACTGTGTAGAAAAGATAATGAAGAAGAAGAAATGAGAAAAGCAGAAGAGGAGGAAGTTCAGAAAAAGAAAGGCGTGAAGAAGATAAGAGACATAGAAGAAAAGTGAAAGAAGAAGAAAAGAGAAAAAATCGGTAAAGAACGGAAAGAGAATGAAAGAGAATAAGAAATCGAGAGGAATCGATTGAAACATATGAACGTGAACCAGAAACCTACCGACATCGATTTGATCGAGAAGAAATAGAGACAGGTTCACTATTCCAGTAAATTATTTATATAATGAAGTGATCACTCATCAAAATGTTAACTTATGGCTAAGCTTCTAGGCTTTTCCCTAGTAGGTAAATTATACATATGAAGGCCTCCGCAAAGGAACGACAAAAAATTTGGTTCTTAATCACAACGCAAGCTGTGAGGGGTTTGCCCTAATAAAATAGCTTTTTCTAAGGGAAAACTACAAATTGCACCCCACGCCAGGGTGAATCGAATACAGCAACGTTGTTCTGCCAAGAAAAAACACCACATGAGCATTTAGACGTTGCCAAATTTCCGTTGATAAAAAACAAAAGTAATGGAAGACTTATGGATATTTTTCCCTCAATTTTTCAGCAAATTTGATTCGTAGTTTAATCCTGAGGATTTTAAACATTTGAAGAACAACTTACTCATAGCAATCGTCGGAATTGCATGGTTCATAAGCGAAATGTTGGCAATGTTGGGATGTCGATACGACGTTTTTCCCATCTCGGCAGAACAGAGCCGCGAAGTCCCCGCTGTTACCGCAACACCGCGTCTGCTCGGTGACTCGAACGCGCGGCCAGAAAAAACAGCGCAACGGCGAGGAACACGGGAGACAGGAGTCGCGACTCACAACGATTGTGTGGGCCCCGAGCTCGCTCGTACATTTACACGCTTAGCCTAGCGTGTAATTCCGCTCACAATTATCGTTTCGGGTAGTTAGCTCCCCCGGCCCCGGCCGCGGCCCCCAGATTCACGATCAGCTGATCGCACCAATCCCGGCGCGTAACGGACGGGCCTCGGCTCCTGATTGGTCCGTCACGCTCCGTTCGCTTGCGCGCCCACTTCGGGACCGGAGTCCGCGGATCTGGCTAATTCCCTCGTCCCGCGTGTCCCATTCATAAAATTCCCGGCGGCCACCCCCGACCCCTAAACGCACTTGTTGCGCCTGTTTGTGATCCCTTCAGTCCCCACGGAATCCCTTCACGCGATCGACCTAATAATTACTTAATCGAATCGGGTTGAACTCTCATCATACGGGTACAGTTAGTTTTTCACGCTAAATCTTGATCGCTTATCAGTTCGTGCGTTACGTGTTTTCAACATGTGATCTCTATAATGTCATATCAAAATGCTGGTGAATCGAGGATTTATTTCGGTACTTTTTTGGATAAGTGTTGGTGTGGTCTTCGGTGAAAAGTGGATGTGCCGCGTGGATTTGAGAACAACGTGTTGTGAATTTGTGATTATGACTTGATCTAAGTCTTGTCACCGGGTGTGTTTTTCGACTGTCGGATCTCCCTCTTTTTGGAAATGTGGTTTACCAGTTGGGATCGATGAAATTCAGCTGGAGTCTCTCTATCGCCTTCAGAATTCCCAGGAGCACCGAGTCTATCGTCAAACTTGTTCTCATCAGTATGGCGGATTTTCAAGAGGTAAGCGTGCTCGATAGTTCTGATGGGATTCAATTGGGGTTGTTTGGACCGAGTTCAGCAGATCGGAAACCAAGCAGCATCGGCTATCGCCAAATTCAACCGGGCAATTTAATTTTTTACAAGGGAACATTATAGCGGATCCCTTTAAAAATGTTAAGGAATTCGCCTTGTACTATGCAGAAAATTTACTGTTTGCCCAAAAATTCACACAGCCGTTTCCGTAAAACATAAAATTGCCTGATTAAATTTGGCCATAGCATGATGTGGCTTGGTCCCCTTCTGCTTAATGTGGTCCATTTCTACTAAAAAAAACTAGGTACGAACAACGTATCAAATCTAAAGCTAATAGGTGCTTAGAATTTGTGTGCTCTTCTACCTTCATTTCAATTTAATTCATTTGCAAATAATGTCTCTTGGTATGAAAATGTCCAGTTAAGGCTCAATTACATGCTATGAAGTTCTGCAGTATTGTGAGTGATTTTAATATTAAGACTGGGCGACTTTTGGATACATTTTTAGGAGAGTTTGGTTTGACAAGAAGATTTTTTGCTCGAAGTCAAGGGTTTAATCTGTAAGAAATTACATGTAGAACATGCACGTTTTTGAAAACAAAATTATTAAAGGACTTTTTTGCATCAAAGACCTTCAAAGTATACTACCTATCCTTTTATTCGTAGGACATATGAGATCATTTTGGTTGTGTTATACTTTGTAAGACAAATTCTGGATTCAAAAAATTAACTCTTTGTGGAGCAAACCCGAACGTTATTTTCTAGCGGAGCAAAGAAAATTCTAACGAATTTTCTAATAGAATCGTGAAAAAAAGCTGACTTGATCTTGATTTGGTCAAGATTCAAAATACTTTGAACTGTTGCGGTATGGGCCGGCCCATAGTTCTGAAAATTAAGTTGATCCACATAAAATAAGACAGATTTACATGAAGACTGATGTATTATTTATAACATAATCATCTAAAAATCTTGGCCAATGTGGTACGAATTAGTTTCATCCTACAGAATTCAATTTAATTTAAATATTTTTTATAAAAATGCATAAATGAATTCGCTATTAACTTGAACGGTACCTGACCGGCCTTGCCCTTTTTTAAATGAGCATAAATGAAATTTAACTATGGTTCTGAATGTTTTTCAAAAGCCAATTTTATTTCACATTAGGGTCAGCACCATATGACTGATAAAACTACAGAGCTTAGGGAGTTTGTAGTATTTATTCGTAAGAGGGTAGGATAGAAACATCTTGAAATCAGGGGTCTTTTGTAAAAGTAGGCTATGTGCAATTATCATCAGGCTACAATTACACTTTTATGGAAAGTGTTCAGAATCGGTAAAGTAAGTCCTGAGAATATTTGGAAATGTGGCAAAATAAAAATTACTTGTTTATCCCAAGGAAATTTGAAATTTTACTTTACTTTAAGTTAAGTTATTGAGACTGTCCCGAAAGTATACACTTTTTTTAGGAGTCAAATAGGACCAACTATAGAAATGCAGTTTATGTGAGGTAAGTTTCCAGTAATTACTGTACTTGCCCTGTACTGCACCGAGGAAAAGCTATGGCTTATAAACCAATTAGTGGTTCATATGAAGCACCATTAATAGTAGTAATGGAAAAATATTATAATAGCACATACCTCAGTGATGGTATATATACCTTAGTATGGTTCACAGACAGAGAATAAGTTAATTTACAACTATTACTGGTGTGCCACATGAACCACTAAATAGTTTATAAAGCCATAGATTTCTCTCCGTGTGTACTGTAATTTATACTGATTCGACGTCTTTAAAAATTGACTAAGTTATTGAATTCAAGGCATCACTGGTCATTTTGGCCGTGCCAGGTTTTTCTCTTTTTTTTCTGAGGATAAAAAATTATTAAAAAATTAAGACGGTTTATTGAACACATTTAAAGATTCAAACATTAGATTAGAAAAAAATTGAAAAAAATTCAGAATTACTCTTTTTTATCCAACAAATGCTCCCTTTTGATCTTTGATTTCCTCACACTGCAGGAATCTTTTTTTGGGGTTCTTCTTTTGTTAAAGTTTTGGAGGATAATTCTACCTCTTGATTACGTCAATTGAATTAAAATGCTTGTCCCATAAGTTCCAGGGCCGGATTTACTTACTTGCCGCCCCCTTTTCATTCATTTTGAAACATCAGTAAAAACCATCAAGTGAACGTGATGGAGGGGGAGGGGTCATAAGACGCGTTTACCTGTGTTGGACACACTTTTTGCGAAAGCCCTGTCAACACTACTAGCAAAAATTCATGGGACTTTGCGCGAAAGTTAGGTTTATTAGAAATGAAAGAAAATTACGAAAGAACAAACATTAATATGGTTTAATAATTTTAACCTCCGTCGCACCGCGCTGACCGAATTGTGTTTTTGCGCAATGCGTGAAGTATTCCTACAGTCTTGCAGGCGCTATGCAGTTCACGCCGACCGCTGCGCGCTGCTGAACACACTGTGTTTAACGCAATGCGTGAAGTATTCATGCAGTCTTGTAGGCGCTAATATGTGTTTCATGCCAACCGCCGCGCCGAGGGCTTCTCCTTTTCATCTCAAGTTCTCGTCATCATTGCTCTCTGCGCCGCGCCATTTCAGGCCAAATTGCGTGTTTGGTTTCTCTCTTAACTCGACTGATTAAAAGTGATGTCTCTTATGTATCACCGAAAGACAACCAAATTAGAAATTACTTTAATCTCAAGAAATGAGAGTTTTTGTCGCCTTTTCTCGTTTGTAATCTTTTTTCTTAATGTGGCCACCCCCTTAATCCGGCTCTGTTAAGCTCTCGACAAAGTCACAAGTTCTTGAAACGACCAGAAGTTGCAGGGTAGGAGACCACGATATAAGACAGGTGCAAAAGACAGCCAATCCCATGTTTTTTTCATGAACTTTTCGAGGGCTAAGGGCAGCATTGACTGCTCTTATTGTATTCTCTTCGCTTTATTCATCCCCCTCATCCGAAATTTTAAGAATTCCAATTTTTCATCACGTTGTAGTATGTCAGGTATTTGCACACAAAATTTGGCTAAGAAATATTTTTATGTTGCTTTAAATGTACGTCCGAAGTAAATACCACAAATCGAGACGATGATATGTGATAATCATTTTAGACATATTTTCGCGGAGTTATTTAAATGTACATCATTCTTGGTCAAATTGTGTGTACAAATACCGTACAAACCACCAGTGGCGAGGCGTGAATCCTCCATTTTTGATATTTTCCCATTTGAAGATATGATACAGAATCGATCATTGAAGTGTTCGTTGCGAGCACCCTGTTTATCGATCCTTTTCCATAGAATTAAATAGTAGATCAATTGATATATCGCAAAACACGCCACGCCACTGTTATTCGCACTACAGCGAAAAAAATGCTGCAAGAAATTAAGCAAGACATTTTCAGAAATTATCGAATCGAGCGATTAACTATCGAATCGTTGTCAAGGGCTGAAGAAGTACCTTAATAGGCTCTCTCGTTTGAAAATGGACCACTAGACAAGGTACGAATTTAAGCATTCTGATACACGTTTCCTTGTCAAAATTTCACGTAAAGCACGATTCGCACTACAAAAATTACTTAAACCAACTTCTAACGAAAATATTAACGTTTTTATCTCACAGTGGTTACGAGGAATTTGAACTGCCCGCTCACAAGAAACTCAAAGCTCTACGTGAGTCAAATCGCGCACTACAACGGTTTCAGCAAGCTTCTCAAACGAGCAATGTTCATTTCCCACCATGTGTTGTTCACACTATGAGCAATTTGCTATAGCTGAGCCAAAGCGTCAAGATTGAGGTTGCCAGATTTGTATATCGTAGAGACTGTCATGATAATTGATAACGTTTAGCGCGCGATGTAAATCACGTAGAGCATTGAGTTTTCATGAGCGGGTGGTTTAAATTCACGCATCAGGAATCATTAAATGTCTTCGTAAGGAGGTAATTTCGGTAATTTTCGTTGTGTGCATCGTGTTTTACGTAAAATTTTGGTTGAGAAACATGTATCAGAATGCTGAAATTCGCACCTTATCTAGTGGTCCATTGTGATTCATGGAGTATCTTCTTTCTTTGGCACAAGCTCCATGCACCCCTTTTCGGAATTCACAGTCCTTTGAATCTCCTTTTTTTCGCGAAAAAATGTCGAGAAAAAAGTGGGGTCAGCGTGAAATAGGTATCCTCTTCATACCTCTTAAGGTCAAAACGGTATTGATCATATTTTATTTATATACTGAGATTGTAATGTCACACTACTATATTTCGTCTGCCCCTGTTTGCCTCACAGACTTCTGGGACAACGCCACAATGTAACTCACGTTAATTTTTTTATGAAATAGAGGTGTCTAGAAATTTGTAGAATTTTACAATTTAGAATGTATGTATATCCCGATTTCTTGGAAAATCTTATTACGGCAAAATTTTAAATGAAAATGTGACTTGATTTGCCCCGTCTTGCAAATGTGAAAGTTTGGAACCGATTGAAACCGTTTGAATGCAGAAATCTACGGAAAAAAATAGTTACAGATAATTGGAGCTAAGCAAACTCCTCACTGAAACACTGAAGCACCTTTGTGAAACATTGACGAATAAACGGAAAATTTATCGCATCATAAATAATGAAAGAAATTCAAATTTAAGTTTCGATGGTTGCGGTTGCAGTATAAAATTTTTTTTAAGTTTGTCTTAATTGGGCTTGTGTGGATGAAATTTGAATTAAACCACACGATGCAAAAAACTTTTTTTTACCCGAAGTCTTCAGTCCGGCCAAACTGACCTGCATTTAAGATACATAGATTTTCATAGGATTTAGTGTAATATCTCTCGTTTGTTTATTCTCAAATGTTGATTCCTACTTCGTGATAAGTCGTGGGAAAGAGCATAAAATAAGAAACATTTTGGCGCCAATTCAGGTCTCTTTCCATTACCGTCTTAAAGTGGCGGCAGATTAAACTTCAAAATGATCGAACAGAGTGTCA